TTCTACAGCTGAGTTTCTGGAGGAGAATAGTAGTTTAAATGAGAAAGTGACACAGGAAAAAGGTACGTAGAATAAGACACAAAACATTAAATCAAATCAAAAGTGTAGTTCAGACACCTCATCATACGAAACATTTCATCAATGTAACATTTCATCATTGTAGCAATTCATCATTTAGGGTTAGGGTTACGGTTAAGGTGACGGTTAAATTGCTCAGTAAGTTAATTACTTGGTTACGCCTACATGTACGTATGTTTGCAAAATGCACTTTATGCAATGATGAAATGTAATGGTGATGAAATGTTGCAATGATGAAATGTTATGGTGATGAAATGTTGCGGTGATGAAATGTTATGGTGATGGAATGCTATGGTGATGAAATGTTGCAATGATGAGATGTCTCGTATGATGAGATGTCAGTGAGCCAGTTCAGACATGGGGGTCGGAGAAGCGGGGCCATGATATGAAATTGTTAAAGTTCCATAGATTAGTTTAATTACAGTTATGGATGCTTTTAATATACTTTGAATTAAAGAGACTGTGGAACTGATGGAAGTACTTGATTGCTTTAGGTACAAAGCTGGAGCCTTTCCTGAGATCAAGATAGATAATCAAAAAGCAAATTTCACCTTTCAGACCTTGTGGTCTATAGGGCAGATGATGTAAAGGTCACCTGTTTCTGTGGCCTACGGTTAACTAGGGTGTCATGTGGCCAGCACAACGCCCAACCGCCTTTACTTTTCCTCAACTAATATCAATGAACCCATTAGAGCTGGGTGGTGTCAAGGTGCCCAAAGATCCGAAATTAAAAATCCAAGTCTTCACCAGAATTTGAACCTGGAACCTCCGGTTTGGAAGTCAAGGGCTTTACCGCTCAGCCGTTGCGCCTCCAGATCGATAATCAGGGATTCAATATTTGCTTTTGAGACTTCTCAACTGTATTTGACACATAAATACAAAGAAGGGGCGATTGAATACCGCTTTTTTTGTCTCTGTTAACCTTATGTCCTTTGAACTATGACCTGCACACACACAGACACACACTGACCACTACACAGATACACGAAGCAAAACAACACATTATGACCTGTACATCATGCGAGGCTCATTGGAGCTAGCTTCTGCACCCCCTCACCTTGGCTTCACTAACCCTTGGCTCCAATACACCTCATTCCTTTAGTATAGCACCCCCTGTTCTGCCCTCGAGTCATCTTGATTTATGTTATACTTTGATTGACTACTCTCCCCTAGTTCATTACAAATGTTAGCTACTAGTTTCTTCTACCTTTTACCTGCAACTACTTTCTTAAATTTAAATATAGGACCTGGTCCTATACACATTCTACTTCTAGTATTATCCTTCATGCAACGCAACAGTGACATTCACAGATCTTGATAATACTTTATCATAAGCTTGAACTTATATTTCTAAATATGCTCAAAGACTAGAACCGCATTTATATTTAATAAGGCCCTAAGATATTTGAGCTGTCTGGCCCTTTTCAATATAAGGCGGGGGAATTTATATTGTTTATGTTGTCTTCATAAAATATTCCTGTAACTATTAATGAGGAACCATCAAGTACGTGGAGGCAGTAAACTAGGGGTTCTCAACCTGTGGATCGCGACACCCTTGGGGGTCGCCTAAGACCATCGAAAATATGGATTGTTATTGTCTATTCTTCTATTGCTGTACGTGTGTTGGGGGGAGGGGGTCGCGGCAGAATGGAGTTTGTAAAAAAGGGGTCGCTGAGCACAAAAGGTTGAGAACCGCTGCTGTAAACTAAAACCTATGTTGCCTATAGGACTACCCAACAGTGACAAAAAACTCAATTTTCATAGGCGTACTTCCTAAATTCTGTTCAAAATACGAACTAGTAAAATCTTCCCTGACGAGCTTTTATTTGTGAGATTATTATCTTAAGTAGTGAAACATTTAATATATTGAGAAAATGTTTTCTATGCTAATCTAAATATATGTAAAATCTAATTATAGAATGTCCATGCAAGACACTAGGAGGTAAAGATGGCGAAAGCATTAAAACCTGCCCACATTTAAAAGGTAACACTTTCAAACATGTTTATCGGTGGTGTTACTTCCTAGTTCAGACCTGATGCAGAACTCAATCATCGTGATTACAGTCCAGAGTGAATCCTTCACAACAGGCAGCAATCCTTCTTTATTCTTTCTTTCTAGTTGTTATATTAACCGACACTTTCTTATAAGTCAAAAGATGAAAGATGGACCCAAGGTGGAATGTGGTAAAAGTGGTAAAACGTTGGAATGTGGTAAAACGTTGGAATGTGGTGAAACGTTTGGAATGTGGTAAAACGGAATGTGGTAAAACGTTGGAATGTGATAAAACGTTGGAATGTGGTAAAACGTTGGAACGTGGTAACACGTTTGGAATGTGGTAAAACGTTGGAATGTGGTTAAACGTTGGAATGTGGTGAAACGTTTGGAATGTGGTAAAACGGAATGTGGTTAAACGTTGGAATGTGATAAAACGTTGGAATGTGGTAAAACGTTGGAATGTGGTAAAACGGTGGAATGTGGTAAAACGGTGGAATGTGGTAAAACGTTGGAATGTGGTAAAACGTTGGAATGTGGTAAAATCGGAAGTGTGGTAAAAAGTTGGAATGTGGTTAAAAGTTGCAGTGTGGTTAAAAGTTGCAGTGTGGTAAAAATGTAATTTCCATTGTGGTAAAAATTTGGAGCCTGGAAAAGTTGGACTGTGGTAAAAAGTAGTAAAAAGTTGGAATGTGGTAAAATGTTGGAATGTGATAAAACTTTGGAGTGTGGTTAAAACTTGAAATTTCCTGAAAAGCACAAATACATTTTTGTTTTCAAGCTAAAATTTCGCACATGGTTTTGTTGGTAAGCTCAGTTGATAGCGCTTATGTGAATGTTGTGGGTTCGATTCCCATAAAGGCCATATTGTTTCTTGCTTTTGTTTTTTCAATAAAACATGTAATTTAGTTTACTTTTGCTTTTGAACACAAAAAGGGGTGGATTTTTAAACAAATAAGTTTTTTTGTTATATTTCTTTTCTTTAAATTAAAAATTGTATCTTATATTGGGGAAGGATATAAAGATATACTTATATGTCTATATTGTTGTATTACAATTTCTATAACAGGTGAGCATGAAAATCAAGTATCGGACAGCCAAGATCTTAGCAAATATTTTGACAACTGTGTCAAGAATCCTGGCCATACACATTTTATACCTATCAAAAAACTAACACTAAAACATCTACCAGAAGGCCATCGTGATGAGGAACTGTGTGGGTTTATTAGGGCCGCATCAGATCTCACAGTCTGTGTCAATGTCACCATGACTAGTCTACAGAGACCCGAGTTCTGGCCTGACACCGAAGTTCCATACTTCCTGTACACGATGAGAGCAAGTCCACACTTGAGGACAGGAAGTGGCTGGATTAAGGAGGTATTCGAGAACAGGGACACCACCTGCCCGTGTGATCAATGCAGACAGTCTGGTCAACCAAATACTATTTGGTGGGACATTCACGTGGAAACGGCCACCAATCTAGTTTTTGACGAAACCGAGGCAAGCAAAAGTTCCATACGATTGTTTTATGACAGAGAGTACAGTCCCTTGAGTGTTCTCAGCAACTCTATTAGAGTCTACAACTCTGATTTTGAGACAGATTGGTGCACCTTGTCTTGCACTACTTGTGACAGAGGTGTCAGCAGCAAGCTGAAGAAAATGAGGGAAACCTACGTTTCTGCTAGAAATAGAATTCGTAACAGATACACTGAGACGAGAGATGTGGACAAGCTTATGTTCATAGTGTCCCACCCTCACAGTGGCTCCAAACATGTCAGTGTCGGGCGCTGGACGAAGAAATACAAGAGGGGTGATCTCAATATGTTTACATACACCACAAGTACATGTCCAGGGAGCAGTGGAGCCCCGGTATTTTGTTTAGGATTTGGTAGGATGCTTCACTGCGGCACTTTAGTGTCTGGCCTCGGTTATAGCAGTTTTTAGACTTAAATCTCATTTCAATAAACTCGAAGGCTTTGGAGTCCGATCATTGCTTTGAAAATCGATTTCACTAAGGTTACGGGCAGGTTGGGTGTTTTGCAGTATTATCTGTTCTTTGATCTAAGTTTTTTTTGGCTGATCTTATTATTATTATTTTTTTGCAGAGAGCTATTAGATTGTTATGTCCCTAGCGCTAATAACACCACACTACAAAAACTTTGTTAACGAAATGTCCTGACTAGTGCAGGGATGTACCATTAAGCAAGCCATACCATTAAAACCTTTTAGAATATGTAATTATAGCTTGTAAAGATTATATAATGTTTGATAATTATTAATTATACCATGGACTCATCCCAGATAAATATATAGCTAATTAGTAGTTACATAGGCAAACAGTTCTTTACTGGGTTTGCATAGTCATGTGCTGCACCCTAACTTAATCTTCAGAATTGAGGATATTGTCATTATTATTATTAAGTTTACAGAAAGACAATTGTGATCCATGCGGTCAGGCTGTATTACTGCTATTCATACTTGTTATGGAAAGTGTTTGTCTAGTATTTTTGTGCATTAAGACATGAAAAAATGCAAAATTTTGATACTTGATATTGCATAAAGAGATTAATGAGTTTTATGTGTTAAAAAATACATATTTATTATTTGATTTTTTTTATATTTTCTTTTTTTTTGTGTGTGATAAGTATTGCGTTAAATAAGATATTTATTTTAAAACCAATAAACAAACCATTTGTACACGAAGTATTAAACTCATTAAAGATATATATGTAATGGTAGGCCTTAATCAATTAAGTCTTTCTTAATCTCCTCTGATTAATTGTTTTGTTTTATTGTACTTATACAATTTAATTCACGCTATCATTGAACGCGTTAGACTAAATGTTAACCTTTATTCTATAAGATCTGGGTTTCATCAAAGTTTTTCTGTTATCATGTAGGCCTTATATGTTAAATGCTGTTATTATTATTTTTTTTTTGTATAGGGGGACTACCCAGACTATAAATACAAGTCTTTTATTATAATTGATTGACTCCCTTCTATTTTAATCAGGTATATCTTGTAACCATAATTTTGTTTTTTAGCTAAATACACCTCCTGTATAATGGTTTGATGCAAAATGGATGGTGATTTTCTTCAATTGTTAACATTAATAAAAGAAGTTTGCCAACCAAAATCATCGTTGCCAACACTAATTTGTGTACTCTTTATTTCCTTTATTTCCCCGCCCCACATTTACGTCACTTTGGTATGCATTACTATAATGAGCTCTATGGCTTTGGCTCATATAAAACCTTTGGACCATGTTGCAGATTTGATGCGGAGACCTTGTCGATCTGTGAAACCGTAAAAGCTACTGACCTCTCAACATGACCGGCCTTAGACAAAGTGAATAGGGTGATCCCAAGGAAAAAAAAAATTAAGACCGAAAAATAGGCATTGAGTTAAAAACCTTCTTGTATCTATATGTAAATAAACAAATAAGCTAAATTTATAAAGCGCCGATAGTACGAATATACTTTATGGATGATTCATGATCCCCAGACGAGAAATAACAAAAGGAACAATGGTCTTTTAACAAATGTAGTCAGACAAGTAGACTATATCTATACAATCGTGATTAAATCACAAACTATAGAGCTAGGCTAGTGGACATAAAGTAACAGAGTTCTGCTATAAGATTTGATCCATGTTTAGCAATTTTTTCTCTTAAAATATTCTTTGAGTCCTGTGCGAGGCCCCCATCAATCGGAAGACCAAGGCGGCTGCCTAGTTTGCCTATGCCTAAGGTCGGCCCTGCTTGGAGTCTTTTACTGTAACAGGGTTTGAGTACTAACTTAAAATGCTGCGCTCATAATCATTAGAATCAAAGATACCTCAGAGAAAAGCCAAATGTAAAAAAAAAAATGCAGAAGACCCATTCTGGTCACAGAACCAAAATCAATGTTGTATAATAGTCCAGTTTGGTCAGAAATCAAGAATATTATATTATTGGTGTTCTCGTCCTTACCCCTCCCCTAGCACTTTATATTGCGTTAAGGTCTACGTGATGCTTACGTGTAAAAGTAAACAAAAAAAATATACACATGATTAGCTTTTGTGGTGGTCACATAACACCCTCAGCAGCATTGTGTGGTATAGAAGAGTGAACCCTGATGTGCAGGCTTCGTTAATCCTTGAGTATCTCTGGGAAACTTTATTCAGCTACTGTTAACGTCTATGCATGCTGTGATAAAAGGATATATAGATAGATCAAAGAAGAGCCTTATCTCATGTTTTGTTTCCAATCTCCTGTGTATGCAGACTGTGTTTCCAATGAACTTTATAACTAGTCAACAGAAGACGTATTTTGGCGCTTTTATTTATGTGAATTGATACATAGCTAAAGTAGTTGATCCGCTATTTAGAAAAAATGATACAAGAGATTTGAACGGCTGCCTATCAAGGGGTCTCGAGTTATGCTAAACCTAAAAATGTGTATTCAAGACTTAATATTAAAGAACAGCAGTGTACGTGAACTACGTGGACAGTCTCCCCCACCCCCTCCATTCGGGGGGCTACTTAAGCATAAAAACTAAAGTTCCCCTTTCAGACCTTGTGGTCTCTATGGTGGATGATGTAAAGGTCATCTGTTTCTGTGGCCTACGGTTAACGAGGGTGTTATTTGGCCAGCACAACGACCAACCACTTTTACTTTTCCCCATCTTATGCCAGGTACCCATTAGAGCTGGGTGGACTCAGAGGCGCCCAAAGGATCCCGAAATTAAAAATCCCAGTCTTCACCAGGATTTGAACCCGGAACCCCCTGCTCGGACCTTATTGGATTGTATATATATATATATATAATATGGACTTCAAGCCATCAAGTCCCAGAATGTCCTATCTCAAGTGACACCAGTCCTTTCCTATCTAAATACCAATATCAATACCGACACACTCCCCAGTGTCGCCCCAGGTCCTCAACACAGTTCAAAGGTAGCACAAAGGACGTTCTCTCGAGTCAAGACAGCTTAGACTCCAATAACTTGCCGAATACTGCAGCCGGATCTACCACTGTCCTTCTTCCTGTCTAAACATGTCTTGTACTCCTAGTGTTTAGTAATGCTCAGATGCGCACCATCAGTGTGGCGCAGGAGCAGAGTTACAACAATATCTATTTCAATGTATTTGTACTTACTTCCAAATCCCCAATGAGCTCAGAGACTATCTCCTTGTTTCAAAACATGTTTTTATTTAGTTTGTCTTTAAAACACCATATCCCACAGGATACTACATATACTCTTGCAATCTCTTATGGATTCAAACTGGAAACTGGGTGGAACCTGAGCGGGTATTAGAAAACGGCTCTAACGATTTCTCTAGAAATATGACAGTTGATGTATATTTTTTTGGGGGAAAAACTACCGTGAAAACTCTGTTTTGAAACTAACAATTTTAATTTTTTATAATGTAATCAACTTAAAAATAAATTTGGCTGACGTCTCAATGGGAATTCCCGCAAACGACTCAAATGTTTCTTTGTATTTATAAAAGAGTTGAATAAATAAAAAGACCTTTATTGACATCTTTTTATGGTGAAAATATTAGCTGGACTGTTAATAGAAGAGCCTGAGCATGTAGAGCTCACTGGTAAGATTCATTGCAATAATGAAGCAGTACAAGAAATAAATTAAATTAAAAACAAATGACCACCACATTATTGATTTTCGAGAAACGTTTTTTCTATGGTACCAGTTTTGTTATGATTTTATGACCCATTGATTCTAATGTATATTCTGAATAATAATACATTATTACTCTTATCTTATATCTTTGGCACCTTTAGGGTCGAAATTCATGGAAGGGAAACCAAAATCCATCAAAGTCTCTTTAGTATTAGGGAATTTTAATGATTCGCTGGTCTGCAGCAGTAACGCTTTTTGTCAGGTAATAATAATAATAATTATTATTATCACCATAATGCTATTGAAGGTCTAAAACATCGACCATTTAAACACATTTTTAATGTATTCCCCTATTCTAATATTGTTTTAAGCGAGTTTTTTTTATTCCAAAATACTGTCAAGATTTCTTTTCTTTAAGTTTAACTCATTGCTAAAGTCTAAAACAAACTCTACAAAACTATCTCGATAAGGAGCGACGGTAGAATGACATTATATTGAACGTAATCGTGATAAATAGTGCTTCCCGTCTACAGCTCACACTAATATCGGTCCATCTTGTCAACTAGATTATGTATATGTCTATGCATAAAAATAAATTTTGGTTAATGCTTTCAAACTGTAACATAATGAACCATTTATGAATACGGACAAGACAGATTGGAAACACTACAGATTGTACATTATCAAATAACTGTTACACTTTTTAAACATTTCCATACCATTGATTTAACTCTGGGAAAACTGACATAAAGGCTGTATTGCTTAAAGGATTAAGAATCTTTTAAGACGTTCAGTAAAGAATTTATGATGGCCAGGGATTACGTGCAGTTATCCATGACGGCAAAGACACAGAAGTCTAGATCAAACGACACAAAACTTGATGGCTTCCAAACTGCGTATTTCCTTGACCGCCAGACTATAATGGACTAAACAGACTATTTATCCCCAAGGGCAATGATTTCTGAAGCCCCAAATCACTGACTGTGTCTGAAAGTTCACGCTATGGGCCAATGAAACATTTCCGTATTGTAAAAGATAAAAGTTGAACATCAAACTAACATGCTCTACAAAAGTATATAAAACATTCAAACATTTTCAAATTTAGTTAGTTAACAAATTAGACTAGAAGATTATGGTAGAGAAACATAAGAAGGTAATTCTTTTAACGCTATATTTTCTTTGTATTCATTAATGATTTTGACTATCACACATTTTTTTATTACTATTTTTGTATAGCAGACCTCTATGTTATTTTATCATGTTCTGTGTGCTTTTGGACCAATGTTGTAGTTTTTTAAAATTCCCCTTTCTGACCGTTCGATTTATGGGGTGGATGATGTTGAGGTCATCTGTTTCTACGGCCAACGGATAACGAGCAGTGTGTCACATGGCCAGCACAATGACCAACCGCCTTTACAAACCCCAATCAATGACGATCTTATTCGGTCAGATCAAATCCGAGCCGATTAATGACCATACGATTAGGTCAGATTCAATCCGAACTGATCAATGATGATCCGATTTGTTCAGATTCAATCCGAGCAAATCATATACGATCCGATTCGGCCAAATCCATGAGTTCGAATTCAGGTCGTCCCCCTTTAAAAAAAATAATTTAATAAGTGAATACGATAAAAAATTCAACCAGATATCCCTTTCTTTCTTCCCCCCCCCCCCCCCCCCAATATTCCCACGTAAGCCTGATGAGGATCATATTGTATTTGGGAAAGCTAAAAGCATGATATAGTAAAACAGTATGTCAAAATATTTCTAATCGCACATATTTATAGTTGCTGGTCTAAATACTTGATCTATTACAGTTTTAATTACATGACTTGATCCAAGCTAATAGATACAATGACACTTTATATAAACTGTGCATTAACACAAATATTTTATACGATTGCGTTGTTTCTTTTACTTCAGATCTAAATATGTCTGTCCCACTGACCTGCATGAGTACACTTGTACTGGCTTTGTCTTTGATGGCCTCTATTAAAGGAGATGTGGATTGGAGAGAGTCTCTCTTGCAAAGAATAGCTCAAGCTAATCAATCTCGAGAACAGGTAATCACATTGAAATATAGGGAGCTATTTCTTTGGTAATGATTGCACCGTCTTCGTATTCGAAGATTAAGGATGTGTGCAGCGTTTCACATGACTAAACAAATCGTGAAGAAATCACAAAATATAGAGATATAGAGCTGTTGCGACATAAATATTTTTTCACATCTTATGCAGACAAACCGGTTGTCTGCCGGGGGTCTATATATTTTTTTTCGCCTTCTGCGTCTGACTTTGGGAAGGGCTTTTTATTTCTGTGTCAAATCATACCTAAAACTCTGTTGGTGAGATCGAGAACATTACCTCCTTGCATATAGTTATTTCCTCAGTCCTTTTAATGTGAAATGATTTGATTTTAAATGTACAGTTAACCAATTAATTTTTATGTAATGATGAAATATGCAATCTTTTATCATACATTCTCATTTTCCCAAAGATTCTATCAACTCACTCTGTCTGATAAT